GCGCCTCCTGCCGAGGCATCCGCGACTGCGCTCACCGCTGCGCGCAACTCAGCCCGAGGCGCGATTGGCCTCTGCGGTGCACGGGCAGATTCCTTTGGCCGCTGGCCTCTGCAATTCGCGTTGCCCTTCAGCTCGGCCGCCCACCGCGCCGGCCCGAGGGCTGCGAAGTCCGACCCCCCTTGGCGGCGGGTCCGCGTGCACTCGCGCGGGCCCCTGGGCGGCTGGCCAGCAGCGTTCGCGGCCAGGCCCGGAAAAACGAGGGCGACCGCTGCCGTGCGTTGTCGCGCCTGGCCGACCTCAGCGAGCGCGGAACTGCGGCGACCTGCGCAATCTGGCCCAGCGCGTCGCGCTCGAGCTTCCGAGCGCCGGCGACGTGCTCCAGGCTGACGCGGGCGCTTGCGCCCTCGAACCGCAGCGCTGACTCCGCCGCGAGGGCGTTCGTGAGCGGCTTTCTTCAGGCCAGTCTGGCCGCGCGGAAGAGAGCCGCGGTCGCGTGCGCCTGGGGCGGCAGGAGAGCCTCACCCTTGAGATGCGGCAACAAGCAGCCCGCGGCAACAAGTGCGCGGCGCCCCATTGACGAAGAGGATCGCGCCGAACCCGCGCGGGGGCGCGTCGGCGCGGGCGCGGGCGGACAGGTCGGCAAGGCGCGTGGTCGCAATGGTCCACCTTCGGACTGCGATCGAACTGTCATCGCGGTCGCGGATGAGCCCAGCAAGCAACAAACATATCCAAGTGATTTCCAGCTGGGCCCGCAGTAAAAGGAAAAGCTGGCCCGGCCGCTTCTTGACCGAGAATCTCAGGCCCGCGCGCTCTGCCCCTGGGCGCGCGCGGCCAACGCCGCCCGCGGGAAGGCGTTGAACCAGAAAGCCAAGGGAACAAGCTGCTGGCCCACCAAAGTTGGCCGGCTATCTCGCGAGACCCCTTCGTATCGACGACGCCCTTCGAGCGGTGGAGCGCGTCGACTGCCTCGACGACCTCCCGGCGCCGCTTCGGGGCCAGCCCCGCCCGGACGCCTCGCGCGCGCCGGCGGCGCTTCCGGCGCTGGAGCTCCAGCGTTGCGCCCCGATCCAGGGCGCGGCCTGCCCGCGGACAACTTTCTTCCAGTCGGGCGGCCCGGATCGGAGGGGGGGCCGCTTCCGCTGGCGCCGGGGGCCGCGAGCGCAGATCGCGGGGTCGTCCACGAAGCGCTGGATGCTGAGCCCGCGCGGCCGGGACATCGCCCGGCCCAGCCCGCGCGCAGCGGCGCCGACTCTGCCCCGGACCAGAGGGGCAGAAGCCATCCCGCAGCACAGACGGCGGAAGACTGCCCAGCCCGCCGCCGTCCTGTAACCATCTCCCCCTGGTCGGCTGCTCGGAATGATAGGGCGTGGAACGCGTCCTCGAAGTCCACCGCGCAAAACTCGTGCCAATCCTCGTCGGGGCGCCAGTCGGCCCTGACGTCGATCTCCATGAGGTCGAGAACCGCGGCCGCGAGGTCCGACAAGTGGGGCAGAATCGCGCGCTCTGGGAGAACGACTCCCTCGTTGACCCCGGACCGCAAGAGATCGGTGATGATGCGAGCATTCGTCGAACCGCCCTCCCGCATCTGGACGAAAGACGCAACTTTGCTCGCCGTCGCATCCAGCCACCTGCTGCGCACCTCGTCCAGTCGCGGACAATATCGATGTAGCCGCGCTGCTCGATGCGCTGGACTTTTTGCTCCGCCAGAGCGCCGCCGTCGACGTAGAAGCTGGCGTAAATATTGTGGATGTCGTGCCTCCCCCCCCCGCGCGGCCCGGAGGGCAGCAAACTGCTTGGCCTTGTCTACGGCTGCGCTCGCATGGTCCACTGGCGGGAAGATGCCGCACGTGCGAACCTCAGACTTCCCAATGCCGGTCGGGCAACCGTGCCAGAGCCAGCTCGGAACCTCCATCTCTGGATCTCCCGCCGCGTCCAGGATTAAGTCGGGCCTGTCCTCCCACAGGGGGATTTTGGACGAACCAAAAAAATAGGGGACAAAATGCCCCCAAATGGTCAAAAAGTTCCAAAACAAATAGCCCCCAGACTTTTTCTTGACTATTTTGAATACTCCCCCTGTAGAGGCACAGGCCCGACTCAAGTCCAGGAACGACTTCCACAGCTGGTGGTCGAACGCGGTGCCAAGGTCCGGACGCGCAGCCCGGTACTCCTTCCGGAGTGCCTCCTGGGTGAATCCGACGGCCTCCAGGCTGATGCCATTGCACTGGTCCGTGCCCATCTCTTCGATGACCGAGATGAGTCTCTCCTTGGACGAGGAGAGGTCCAACACCTCGTCGAGAACCTTGCGGATCCGGGCGCCCGTCCGCCTGAGTCCGACCGATCTGGCGACTGCCTAGGATTTCGGAGCCCACCAAGGGCCGCATTGCTTGCGGCCTCCCTGGCAGTTTTCGGCTCCAGTAGCGCCGCGCCATCCAGCGGGCGTCTGCCAACAATGGTCTCCCGCACGTTGGGCAGCGCTGTCGGTGAGTAGCTGGTTCCGCTCGCTCCCGGCCTCGGCACCCTCGGAGTTTCCGACCATGCACTTCTCCTTCTCGCGCGCGTCCTCTGGCTCCTCTGGGCCTGCTGGCCGTCCTTCCTCCTCCAGCGCCTTCGCCACGTAAACCTCGCCCTCCTTGACCTCCTGGCTCTCCTGCCCCTTGACCTCGCGGATCCTCCATCCGCTGGATAGTCAATTCGTTTTCTTGATCGTGCAGGCGCCGTTGGAGTGCAGCTGGAGGCACAAATGGCAAACACCCGCCTGGATGGGCATGGTTCCGTGCACCCACCATTCTCGGGGCCGTTCGCGTACATGAAGCAGATATCCTGCCGCCCCCCCCTCGTCGTGATGAACCGGCCCTGCTTGTCCTTCTTGGGGTGTGTCTCGCCCTTGCCGTTGCCCCTCGGTGGGTTGGTATCGCTCCCAGCGGGCCCCCGCTTCTGTTTCCTCTCCCTGCGTATCTGGGAGGTCGTCTTCTTCGCTGGAGGCTCCTGCGACGCTGCTGAAAGGGGGAGGGAGGAGGAGGAGGAGGAGGAGGAGGAGGAGGAGGAAGTGGAGGAGGACGAGGAAGAGGAGGAGGAGGAGGAGGAGGGAGAGGAGGAGGAGGAGGAGGAGGAGGAGGAGACGACGAGGAGGGGAGGGAGGAGGAGGGAGAGAGGAGGAGGAGGAGGAGGAGGAGGGAGGAGGAGGGAGGAGGAGGAGGAGGAGGAGGAGGAGGAGGCGGAGGAGGAGGGAGGAGGAGGAGGAGGAGGAGGAGGAGGAGGAGGAGCAGCAGCACACTGGAGCCCCCCCTCCAAAGGGAGGCCTCCAGTGTGCTCGCAGGAGACTCCGAGGGGTCGCCCACCTGAGACCCCCAGAAGATTCCCAAAAGGCCCACGTTCCAGGTATCCAGCCGGGAGTGGCGGCAGATCTCGACAAAATGTGGGCGCGCCCGATCATCTCGAGGGGAACGTGATCAAACAGGTGCAGTACCCCAATCCAACCCATAAGGGATGGATGGGCAAGGCCTTTTCGGCTGAGTCGTTTGGGATTGCCCGGTTGATTTTGACGGGATCCAGCAGGAGAACGAGCAGAAGGAGGAAGGAAGGAAGGAAGGAAGGAGATGGATGAAGCTGAAGATGATGATAACTATACCATGGAGAAGATCATGATGCTGATGCTGGTGGTGATGATGATGATTGCGATGCTGGTGATGATAATGAAAATGATGATGCTGCTGATGGTGATGATGATGGTGGTGATGATGATAATGATGGCAATGAAGCTGATGATGATGCTGATGATGCTGATGATGACGATGATTATGATGATGCTGATGCTGATGCTGATGCTGATGATGATGATGATGATGATGATGATGGTGGTGGTGGTGATTATGATGGCGATGATGATGATGCTGATGATGCTGATGGTGGTGGTGGTGGTGGTGGTGGCGGTGGTGGTGATGATGGGGTGACGGAGGTGCTGCTGCTGATGATGGTGATGACGATGATGATGGTGGTGATGATGATAAGGATTGTGGTGGTGTTACTGATGATGGTGACGATGATGGTGACGATGATGATGACGATGCTGATGACGATGATGATGATGATGATGATGATAATGCTGATGGTAATGCTGATGCTGATGGTGAGAATGACGACGATGATGACCATGATGATGAGGATGATGATAATGATGCTGCTGCTGCTGCTGCTGCTGCTGATGATGATGATGATGATGATGGCTGCTGATGATGATTGCACAACTGTAGGTTAAGACTGAAACCATGCACGTAATAAGCGTTGTGTTGCGTGGAGGCTGGAGGCATTCGGAGGGAAAAGAGAGAGAGAGAGAGATATATATATAGAAAGAGAGAGAGAGAAGGAGAAGGGAGGGAGAGGGAGAAGGGAGAGAGGAGGGCGTGGAGAGAGGAGGGACGGGAGGGAAGTTGAGGGGAGAAGGGGAGGGAGGAGGAATTCCCCAATATTCTCCAACCAATGCATGTTTACTGCTGTCCTATACAGGGCTGCGCTGCGCAAATACAATCACATGCATACATGCGCACGCGCGTAGCCGTTGGCTTAGCCAGCTCCCATCGCGGTGAGTTCGCCTGAGGCCGAAGGGCACTGGTGCCCACGACAATCACTCCAACCTGTCTCTCTTCATTTTCTCACCTGCGCTGGCTTCAAGGAGACGAAAGCGAGGCTGGCAGCGAGTAGATTCACCCTTCCCTCCGCCCCTCCCCCATCCTCCCCATCCCATCACTTTCAAAACGCATGTATTGACTCCTAGGAGCAAATCGTGCGTCCCTGGGCGTGGAAACCAATTCATTGCAACTAGACAAGGTTGTGGCGCTGACGCCCTGTGGACACCGCGCTTGGCTCGCTAATTAGGATGAGACGTGAACAGCGACCAAAACGCGGATGCAACTGGGCCAACGATTCGGTGGACAGGCCTCACGACCGGGCGATGCCGCCGCCGCCTGCGCACTCCTCGCCGTCGGGCTTGGCAACAGGCTGGCTCACTTAGACGCTTTCATGGCCAAGGGCTGGGCGCACAGGAGCATGGCGTTGGCAGCCCCGCTGGGAGTCTGCTCCGGAGAGCCCCCATGCCTCTGCGCACCTCGCTCCAGGCCCTCCACCAGGAGCGCCTCTGGGCACTCGGAGCGCTCGAACTGCGGCTCCTCCCTGGCGTGCACGAAGATGTTGTCGACGAGCCAAAACTGCAGAGCGTTCATGACACCAGGAGTGAGGATCATGACGACCAGCAGCTTCAGGAGCCGGTGATGGAGAACTGGCGCTAGAAGCCATGCCTGACCAGCCTCAAACTCGACCCAATCCGTGCCACTCTGCTATCGGCATGTCAGAGTCGATGACAATGTTCGAGTGAGACTTACATTCCACAACAACTTGGAAGCACCCTCAATATTGTCATCGATATGGGGAGGATCAACCTTCTGGACAAACATAATCATTGTCTGGCAACTATTCACATTCCCTCCCGCGACGCCGCAACACCCGTTTCTGCCGGAAGAGATGCTGGCAAGACGATCCCCAAAACATGCCAGATGAATCAGCGGCAAACTCGACCGACCTTGATCACGTCGGCGGTGCGCCCGGGGGGCAAGCTAGAGGGGGTATAGGCGTAGGTCGGGCGTGTCCCCCTACAGGCGGATTTGGGAGGAAAGATGAAACATAGTCAAAACGTCCCCCAAAAATTATAAAACATAGTCTGAAACATCGTCCCCAGAGTATGCTTTTACTATTTCTGAATGCTCCTCCTGTAGAGGGACAGGCCCGACTTAAGTGGAGGCCTCTCAGAAGCCCCCTGGCCTGCTGAGCACGAGTATCGTTTATCCGACCCCCATCCCCAGCGGCGTGGCCTGGGCCCCACGGGCCGACTTGCCCCCGTAGACGGGGGGATACGCCGTTCCATTCGGGTTTCGAAGGGCGTCTCCCCAACTGGAGTGGCAATTTGGTGGGGGTCCCGAGAGGGGTGGGGATGGGGATCGGTTCAACGATACCGAGAGCAGGCGCCCGTGGCTTAAGTCGGGCCTGTCCCCCTCCAGGGGGATTCTGGAGGAAAAATAGAACATACCCCAAAAATATTCAAAAGATGCTCGAAAATACTCAAAAAACAGTCCCCGGACTATTTTTTGTTTTAACTATTTTCGAATATTCCCCCTGTGGACGGACAGGCCCGACTTAACCCGTGGCCCCCGGAGCAGGGCGCAGCTTCTAATCGGGCGTTGGCAGAACTGGGTTTAATGGAACCTGGTTTAGCGATGCGTACCCGGGGGCGCCACCCCCCGCCCCGTTCTGCCAACCGGACCTGCCGTCACCCGAAGAACACCACTTACGGCAAACCTGGTTTAGCGAATTTGGCCCATTGAGGGTCGGAAGCCGGGCAAGGGCTGCTAAATCCGTGACTGCTAAAATCGACCTCCGGGAAGTTGTCTTCGTCCTTCCGGGAAGGAGCCCGTTGACTGTTCCGCGTGCCGCGCCTCATTCCGGGAAGTTGCTTTTGCCTTCCGGGAGGGCCGTTTTAGCAGCCACGGTTTTAGCAGCCCTCGCCCAGCTTCCGAGAGGGGCCCCAGGGCCTTACCACGCACCGGGTCCCCTTACCCGGGGTCCTGGCTATACCCGGTATACGCCCCTCGAGGGCCCGAGGGCCCTCGGAGTGGCTGCCCGCCCACGCCGCCACCCCCCCCTCCCACTGGAGGGGCTCCCCGCCGACCGCGCGGCGACCGACTCGGGCAATGCGACGCCGTCCTCCCTCCTCCTCCTCCTCCTGCTCCTCCTCCTCGTCATCCTCCTCCCTCCTCCTCCTCCTCGTCCTCCTCCTCCTCCTCCTCCTCCTCCTCCTCTCCTCCTCCTCCTCCTCCTCTTTCGTCCTCCTCCCTTCGTCCTCCTCCTCCGTCCTCGTCCTCCTCTCCTCCTCCCCCTCTTCTGTCCTCCTCCTCCTCCTCCTCCTCCTCCTCGTCCTCGTCCTCGTCGTCCTCCTCCTCCTCCTCCTCCTCCTCCTCCTCCTCGGCGCCCCCGATAGGGGATCTTCCGACCCGGGTCAATCCGGACCCGTTTGCATCGACCCCCGTCTCGAGGCTGATCTTTTCAGGGCGGCGTCCCCGAAGTCCAGGCCCTCTCCCCGGGGCCGGTCTCCCTCGGCGGCGACCACAAGGGCGAATAGCCCTGGGGCGGGCACTACACGTATTCGCCCGGGAGCCTCTTGTCGAAGGCATAAATCCTTGGCGCCCCTGGATACACGTATTGCTCTCCCCTGGGCTATTCGCCCCTATCGTAGCCTCTGACTCTCATCCTGGGTCGCTTTTTGACGGCCCCGGGGGGCCAGCGAGGGCTCCCCAAGGGCCGAGAAGAGCGAAAAGCCGCCCGTCCGGATTTTGGTTACGATGCGATCCTGTCAGAGCTGGAACTGCTCCACTTCTTGGCGGCGCGCACAAGGGGGTGGAGGGAGGGTGGGAGGGCTTCTTTTAAAAGGAGGCTGCTTCTCAGAAGGGCTCCGGCCTTCCATCTATAGATAAGGCCCGCGCCTTCTAATAAGCAGGGGTGCTTCGAAGAAGCCATCCCCCCTCCCCCTACCCCCCTCTGCGCGTGCCTCCTCCTCCTCCCCCTCCTCTCCCTCCCCCTCCCCCTCCCCCTCCCCCTCCTCCTCCTCCTCCTCCTCCTCCTCCTCCTCCTCCTCCTCCTTCTCCTCCTCCTCCTCCTCCTCCTCCCCCTCCTCAGAGAAGGCTCGGGAACCACCCGCCCTTCTCTGAGAAGCTTGCTGCACCTTCCCCCGGAAGACACACAAAAAACTCCTCGGAAGGCCGGAGGGCCTCTGAGAAGTCCCGCCGCCTTCTCGGAAGGCCTTCCCCTCCTCACTTCCCCCCCCCGCCCGCCGCCGACCCACCCGTCGTCGACGCTGTCGTCGTCGTCGTCGTCGTCGTCGTCGTCGCCGTCGCCGTCGCCGTCGCCGTCGCCGTCGCCGTCGCCGTCGTCGTCGTCGTCGTCGTCGTCGTCGTCGTCGTCGTCGTCGTCGTCGTCCGCCCGCGGCGGCGGATGGCGAATCGACGCTAGTCGACGCCAGTCGGCGCGAAGTCGGCGCTGTCCCCTCGACTACCAGACGCCAAAATCGGCGCTGCTGCGCTCTACAGAGCTGCATTACGAGGGTGTACGAACGACCCCATCGTCAGGTCAGGCAGATCCTCCTAGAGGCGAATCTGGGAAGACAAATACGAAGCAGAGTCAACAAATAATTTCACAAATTGTCAAGGGAGCACGAAAAATCGTCCCCTGACTATTTTTCCTGTTCTTGAATATTCCTCCTCGTAGAGAGAGGGACATGCCCGACTTGAGCCTATCACGATCTGCACCGAACGATCCCACCCGCCCCCTATCGTCCCCGCCCCTCCCGAACGCAGTGATCAAAAACCCGGCACTGCTGGCTTGGCACCCGTATCCTTCAGCGCCAAGCCGGGAAACCACGAAGCAGTCGGTGCACATTTGAAGCGCCAGCGTGGTTTAGATTGGGCATGTCCCCCTACAGGCGGATTTTGGACGAAAAATTGAAGATACCCAACAAATAATCCAAGAATCTTCAAAATTCAAAAAGATCGTCCCCAGACTATTTTTAGACTATTTTTGAATTTTCCTCCTGTAGCGGGACAGGCCCGACTTAAAAAGCTTGGTGCGACCTTTCAGCTGGCTGAAGAGTCCTTCAGGACGACTGCGTCTTCCAGCTGTCATGTGGCATGGCGGCTGCACAAGGGCAGCCAGGCCTTCCAAACTCATTTCGGACGGTGCGTGAGGATGAACGTGGCTTTGACGTGATGGGCTGTCAGATTACCGACGCTTGAGCGAGGGCCGGGGGAACAAGGGCCCCGCGCACGTGCCGGAGCTCTCCGTGGGAGGCGGCTGGGCCATCGGGCGCCGTGGCTTGCACACCCCTCCTCCTCCTCCTCCTCCTGCTCCTCCTCCCTCCTCCTGCTCTTCCTCCTCCGCCTCCTCCTCCTGCTCCTCCGCCTCCTCCTCCTCCTCCTCCTCCTCGAGGAACACGCCTCGCCCTGCGTACTACTGGGCACGCGTCGAGGGAGACAGGTCTGCACACACACACACACACACACCCGTATCGAGTGGTGCGTGCCCCAAACGTACGCAGGACGAGGCATGTTCCTGGCCGCCTCCCGCCGCCGCCAGGAGGGGGGGGAGGGAGGAGAGAGCGGAGGGTGAGGAAGAGGAGGGGGAGGAGGGGGAGGGAGTGGGGGGGGAGGGGAGGGAGGAGGAGGAGGAGGCGGAGGAGGAGGCGGAGGAGGAGGAAGAGGAGGAGGAGGACCAGTGTAAAACCAAGAGTCATCAACGATGTTGGAATTAACCCTCCCTCCAAACTCCCTCTTCATAGGCCCCCACAACGGTTCATTTCCATTGAGGGATGTACCTCGTTGGAAAACAACCGTGTGAAGATCCTGAAGCATGCCAAAACATTGTTCTCGGGATTTCAACGCCACGCATCAACCTGACTGCTGCGTTTTGGCGATCTGGAACCGTGCCAGAGCGCCATCTTCGGGACTTCAACACCGCGAATCAACATAACTGTTGCGCCCGCATAGTCCTGACTCCTTTCAAACCACAATACCTGGTACGTTGATCATGGGAATCCGTGGAACTCTTGCATATTTTGAATACGAATGTGCGCGGCGCTAAGACGAGAGCCACCTGAAACTCTTGCTTTAAAAACCATTGTGCGCGGCGAAACGGCGAGAACCACATTTTTTACACGACCCGTCCTCAATCCGTGAAACTCTTGCATACGTTGAAAACGAATGTGCGCGGCGCGAAACCGAGAGCCACATGTTGAAAACGACCCGCCCTCAATCAGTGAAACCCCTGCAAATGTTTAATGTGCGCGGCGCTAAAGCGAGAGCCACATTTTGAAAACGACCCGCCCTGAATCCGGGAAAATCTTGCATATGTTGGAAACGAATGTACGCGGCGCGAAGGCGAGAACCACATATTGAAAAGGAACCGCCCTCAATCCTTGAAACCTTTGCAATTAAAAAAAACGAGCGTGCACGGCGCTAAGGAGAGAGCCACATTTTGAACATCACCCGTCCTCCATCTGCGAAACTGCTGCCACTTATGAAGCTTCAGAATTATAGTTGTTTCAAAGCTCAAGCGAAACGCCCGGCCCGCCCGAAAAACTGGTCTCGGGATGCGACAGGGAGGAGTTCTCTATAAGGAGAAGGAATGGAGGAGGAGGAGAAGGAGGAGGAGGAAGAGGAGGAGGAGGGGGAGGACGCGTGGTGGGGGAGGGCGGGACGGAATATGGGGGAGGGGGTGAGGGAGGGAGGGAGGGAGGGAGGGAGGGAGGAGGAGGAGGAGGAGGAGGAGGAGGATGAGAGGAGGAGGAGGAGGAGGAGGAGAGGGGGAGGAGGGGAGGAGGAGGAGGAGGAGGAGGAGGAGGAGGAGGGAGGAGGAGGTAGGAGGAGGAGGAGGAGGAGGAGGAGGAGGCGGAGGCGGAGGAGGAGGAGGAGGAGGAGGAGGTAGAAAGAGGTAGGAGGAGGAGGAGGAGGAAGAGGAGGAGGAGGAGGAGGAGGAAGAGGAGGAGGAGGAGGAGGGAGGAGGAGGAGGAGGAGGAGGAGACGAGACATGTCCCTTGTGAGCTGTAGGCCGCAGCATGGTGCGAACCATGACGCACGGTAGCCCAACCGCCCCTCCCACAAAGAAACTCCAGCGCGTGCGCTGGGGCCTCGGAGCCGGACCCTATCTCTGGCCGTTCCCCAGCCTGTCGTCAAGCAGAGAGCGGGTTACGAATCCGTTCCGTTTTGGGGGGAGCGTAGTCGACCCATGTCATAAGAATGCGTGGCAAATATGCAAAGGCCTTGGAGTCCCGCGTGAACGTTTTCCGAACAGGGCTGGCCGGCGAGAGTCGCTGAGGACGGGCCGAAGGGGCAGGGATGCAAGGGTACCCTTGGGGAAGGTTGCCCATCCTTACTATGATGGTTGACTGCACATCACGTCCGGAAATGCAGAATTCCGATTCGCGCGGACGGGCATCAAATCCATCACACATCCACTCATCACTGACCCCGACCCGCGCATCCTCGAACCGGGCCCGCCGCAGCTCCGCCTACACTCGTCGTGGCCACCCTTGAGGCATTCGCCAGCAGGGAAACCATAGTTACTTTCCTCTCTCTTTTTTTGATCCGCGGGTCGAGAGCGAGCTTCTTCCGATAGAAGCTAAGCGGGCCGCGCACAGCTTTAATTAGCAGAGGGGGGGAAGGGCAAAAGGAGGCGGGGCCTCACGACAAGGCCGAGAGAGGGCAAAGCCCTGGGATCAGGCGGTACCGAAATCGAGGTGCAAGAAAAGGTACGCCTTGGACAGGAGCCCGGTGGCGAAGTCCCGGGAGGCGAAAAGCCGGCGGTGGTGCCGTCAGCGGCGCTTCGAGTACACCAGCCCGGGGAAACCATACACGGGGCGGTGAAGAAACGGGCACAGCCCGTGCACCTCCTGGGCCCGCGGCGGCAGTCCAGGGGCCCTGCAGGGCCCCTCTGGGGCCGCGGTCCTGCAAGCCTAAGATATCTTCGACCCCATCCGCGCTTCTTCGCCCCCGCCCGGTGCCGCTCGCCCAGGGGCCGTCATGAAAAAGTCATGACGCAGGGGTCTGGGAATGGAGGGGGGCGACCTTTGGGGGGGGGGGCAGCAAGGGCTGCAGAAAAAGGGTCCTTTAGGCCCCTGACTGGGGCCCTTTGGGGCCCAGGAGCGGGCCTTCGAGACCCGAAGAGTGCACCCTCTCCGCCCGTTCTGGGGACTCAAGTGCATGGTTTTCCCGCCCCGGGGACGTGCGTTTTGGCACTCCCCAGGCTGCTGCGCCAGAGACGCGGCTGACGCGAACGACGACGCCACGTCGTTCACGTCAACGTGCCGCCTTCGCTGTTGACCGCGAGGTCGACGTCGCCACCGTCGCCGTCGCCGTCGCCGACGTCGGCGGGAGACGTCGACGACATCGTCGACGTCGACTTGCCGCCAACGCCCCGGCGGCCATCGAAGAAGGCGGGGGGGCTCTGCTCAAAGCCCTGCCAACTTCTGAGACAGCCCTCTCGGCAGCCCCCGGGGCCCAGGGCCCCTGCTGAGAAGCGCCCACCTTCTCACAGACGGGCCGCCACCTCGTGACACCCCCGCGCGCCCCGCCGCCAACTGTTGCTGGGGCCCGCAGGGCTGACCCATCACCTCCTCACGCTTGGCTTTCGGGCCAGACCTCGAGGCCCAGGCGGCCGTTTGGGACAACTCCGGGATCCCCAGGACGCTCTCCTGGCCATCGCTCGGACGTCCATTCCCTGTGCTTTCGGATGGAAACTGCCCCGGGTCCCGAAGTGCCAGAAAACGCCCGAGAGCCCGTAGGAAAACGGCTCGAAAACTCCAGACTGTCAGGAGCGGCCAAGAGGGGGGTGTCCAAGAGGGGGGGGTGCAAATCATGACCGGCAGCATGTGCGCGGCCCAGCGGGGGGGCCAGGGACGTCATGAATTAAGAAGAGGCGCCATGAAATCTGGGGAAATATCATGGCCCCCGCCATGATCCCCCCCCCCCTAGTCATCACCCCCCTCTTTGCCGCCCTCGAGACTGTACCGATCGGCAGGAGCCAGGCTCGAGTTTGCTGGCCGGCTGGTGCCGCCGCAGGCTGCAGCAGTGGCGCGCCCAGCAGCATGAGGAGGACCATGGCGCACTTCATGCCCGTGACCTCCGAGCCCTCCCCCCCACGGTGCCCACCAGAATGGCCCAGGGCTCCGTTCACACATGGTCACACCTCCTCCCTCGCCCCTCGCCCCTCGCCCCTCGCCCCTCGCCCCTCGCCCCTCGCCCCTCGCCCCTCGCCCCTCGCCCCTCGCCCCTCCTCCTCCTCCTCCTCCTCCTCCTCCTCCTCCTCCTCCTCCTCCATCCACCTCCTTCGCCCTATGAAATGGATAGCCGTACCGTCTCGAATGGGAGCAGCGGGCGCTGCTCAAAAGTGAGGTGCGCTCACCTTTCGTGGTGGATCCCTCGTGGACTGCACACCCTCCTCCTCATTCTCTTCCTCCTCCTCCTCCTCCTCTTTCTCCTCCTCCGCCTCCTCCTCCTTCTCCTTCCCCCTTTCTTCCCTCCTCCTTCCGCGACAAGCGGCAAAACAAAACCACATTCCCCGTGTCTTCCTCCACCTCGTGCCGCGAATCCATTCTCCTCCTCCTCCTGCTCATCCTCCTCATCCTCCTCCTCCTTTCTTTTTCCTTAAAAACAACTTCTCCTGTCGCACCCCGAGGCCAATTTGTAGGGCGGGCCAGGTATTTCGCCTAAGACTTCCTCACCACTCATGACGCTGAAACCAGATCGCTTTCAAAATGTGGCTCTCGCCTTAGCGCCGCGCACCTTCGTTTTAAACGTTGCAAGGGTTTCACGGATTGAGGACGACCCGTTCTCAAAATGTGGGTCTCGCCTTAGCGCCGTGTACATTCACTTCAAGAACTTGCAAGAGTGTCACGGATTGGGGGCGGCTCCTTTTGAACATATGGCTATCGCCTTAGCGCCGCGCACATTCGTTTTAAACAGTTGCAAGAGTTTCACGGATTCCCATGATAAGCGTACCAGACATTATGTTTCGGAAGGCTTCAGGATTATGAGGGCGCAACACTTGCGTCGATTCGCGGTGTTAACGACCCAGGAATGGCGTTATGGCACGGTTCTGGATCGCCAAGACGCAACAGTCAGTTTGATCCGTGGCGTTGGAACCCCGAGAACAATGTTTTGGCATGCTTCAGGTTCTTTAAACGGTTGTCCTCCAACGGGGCAGTTCCCTGTGGAAACGAACCTTGTATGGGGCCTAAGAAGAGGGAGCTTGGAGAGAGGGTTTATTACAACATCGTTGATGACTCTTGGGTTTACACTTGTCCTCCTCCTCCTCCGTCCTCCTCCTCCGCCCCTCCCAGCAACGAAGGGGGGAGAGAGATCGGGAGGGGGGGGGGGGGAGTGCGGGGGCGGGGGGCGGAAGGGGGGAAAGGGGGCGGACGGGAGCAGGGAGGGCAGGACGGGGAGGATGTGGAGAGGGGACAACAAGGGCCCACCGACTACAGCATTGGTGTACCCCAGAATTGACTTTCTCGCCGAATCCGTACATAAAGCGTAGAATACTCGTTTCGCAAACATTGTACGAACGTCTTTGCATGGCTTCGGCGAGAGAATCAAGGGTATATCAATTATGTAGTCGATCCCCTACTCGAACCAAGAGGCACCAAAAGGCGCCCAGGCGCCTCGACAGACGCTCCAAGAGGCTGCTGCGAGGATTCCTGAAAGACTCCAGCATGCCTCCAAGGAGTTTCTCGCCCTGCCTGTTCTTTCTGTTGGGGGTCTGCGACAAGACGTGAGCCTCTTGAATAAGAGGGGGTCGGGAGGGTGACCTAACTGGTGGGCTCATTGCCATCGCTCGGACGTCCATTCCCCGCGCACTGCTTGGCCTCGTACAGTGGAGGCCCGACCACAAGAAACCTTCCACAAGACCCAAACCCTGAGACCCCAGGACGTCCATTGACTTTTGGTGTGGGAACGTCAGGCTACACATAGCAATACCATCGAAACCCAAGAAACCCAGAGGGCTCCCTGGAGGCAGGCAGGGTGCTTCTTGACATGGGCCCCCACTGTGGGCGTTTTGTTTCGCCAGATGGCCCACGATGCTCCACGGTGGTACATACACAGCCGTGACAAAAATTTCTTCAAGTTGCTATGATGAAGATCTCTCCCATCCCTCTCAAGATTCCTAACATGACATGATGTTGGGGACATTCGGCGGAGTAGTTTCCGATCCCGGAGACGGTAATAACTCTGTTACCCCAAAACGGGATCGGAAACTACCCCGCGCCAAACCATACAAGTTATCGAGCGGGATGCGATTGCGCGAGGAGTAGTTTTAGTAAAACTACTCCGAACTACTCCGCACGAGCGTGTCATTCCAAAAGGCAAATTGAAAGAAACTTTCGTCACGGCGATGTATGCTCTGGCGCTGGCCTGGGCAAGAAGAACGCACACGTCCCTGCGATGCTGAGGCACAACGGGGCCCCAACTTTGGAGTGAGGCGGCCAGGGGGTCCGAACGAATTGGTCGGGGCCCCAGAGAAGCTGCCAGCAGGGGGGATGAAGCCAAATCCGCTCGAAATCCGTCCCTGGGCCCCTCCCGGAGTCCATCGGGTGTGATTTTTCGGCCCGGATCCATCTTTGACAGTGAGCTGCAGATGACAAGCGGGACTCTCACCCTCGTTGATGCTCCTTTCCATGAGGCTTACATCTGCGCCTCCGTCGGCGATACGTCTCGAGACTACAACTCAAGGCCGAGAGCCCCGATTGCCATGCTGAACTGATCCCTGTTCATTCGCCACTACTAAGGACATCCACTTTAGTGTCGCATCCTCCGCTTACTCATACGCTCACATTCAGCGGGCTTGCGGACCTAATTTCATGTCTTGGTAAGAGCGCGCTGGGCACAAGGCAGCAAGGCCATGCCCAGCGGCAAGACAACAGATAGCATCAGAGACACTCTTCTAGTTGCTTGCGTGGGGAGACCCTGTGCACTGAGTGTGCCAGAGGCCGCAGGGTGCCTTGGCACACAGAAGCACACAAACGTTCTGGACAAGCCAGATGCTGGAATGATACGTAATAGACACTGAAGCAGGTACGCTTTCAAGGGTATCCCGAAAGCGCAGTATACGTTAAAGTCCCTATTGGTTCACGGTGTTCTGCTATTCGCAATGATTATCACACTTCGCTGCGCACTTTATCGTTATTCGAGTCAAGGCATTCGTCGCTGAAAGTTGTAAGCAAATGTGAGTGGAAGACCACTGTAAATATCCGCCGGCCCCCTTGTGGGGCCACCAGGCTGTAGGCCGAAGGTTCGCAGTTTCCTGTACCAGTTGCAGCTTCCAATTTCCACTTTTACAGTTCTGCTTCTTGCTGCTTACTGTTCCTTGTTGATGAACCGCGCGAGAGGGGGGGAGGCCCAAAACGGCGACTTTTACGACGCCCTGAGCGTATGCTCTGAATTGCTGGGGTGGGTAAAAGCTTACACCCCTCACGCAGATCGGCGGGGTCAGGGTCCAAAAACACGTGAGATTTGCCACATTTCTAAAATTCGGTGGCACCCCTCACGCAGATCGGCGGGGTCAGGGTCCAAAAACACATGGGATTTGCTACATTTCTGAAATTTGCTAGCACCCCTCACGCAGATCGGCGGGGTCAGGGTCCAAAAACACATGAGATTTGCCACATGTCTAAAATTCGGTGGCACCCCTCACGCAGATCGGCGAGGTCAGGGTACAACAACACAGGGGATTTGCAAGATTTCTCAAATTCAGTGGCACCCCTCCATGGATCGGCGGGGTCAGGGTCCAAAAGCATAAAGGATTTGCTACATTATGCTACATTTCCAAAATTCGGTGGCACCCCTCACGTGGATCGACAGGGTCAGGGTCCAAAAACACAATGGATTTGCCACAGTTCTGAAATTCGGTGGCACCCCTCACGCAGATCGGCGGGGTCAGGGTCCGAAAACCCGGGGCCCTCACGCGGATCGACAGGGTCAGGGTCCAAAAACACAAGGGATTTGCCACATTTCTGAAATTCGGCGGCACCCCTCACGCAGATCCGTAGGGTCAGGGTCCAAAAACATATGGGATTTGCCACATGTCTGAAATTCGGTGGCACCCCTCACGCAGATCCGTAGGGTCAGGGTCGAAAAACAAACAGGTCGCGACACTGCTTCACGGCGGCGCCCAGACCTCATGATTTAGCTTTTGCATCTCCCATTATCCGAGACAGGGGGCCGGCGGCATGGGGCGAAGCCCTTACGGATAATTCAAACACGCAGAAATTCAGAAAGACACTCGACAGCAAGGAGGGCCTTTCCCGCAAACGGCCCTCGGAAGCCGAAAAAGGCAAAACAATGTCCTGCCCGACGTTCCTGCTCGCTGGAAAGTGCTGGGCCACCTCAGACCCCCAGACGGCTTCAAACCCTCGATGCTAGTCGACGCGAATCGACTCTAGATCTACGCGAATGGACGCTCATCGGCGCTACCTCATCGATCACAAGACGCCAGCCGATGCGAACTGACGCACTCGGAAGACGAAGATTACGAGGGTGTACCAAAGCTCCCATGATTTGCGACCGGCGGAGGCATAGAAGGGGGGCCCCCACTGACCACCAGGAGCCAGATGCAGAGCTGCAGCACGTACCCTCCGAAGAGGAACCCCCCGGCGCCGTCAAAGTACCTGCCGGAGGCGCAGCTGGCCGCCGCCGCGGCGCCGCAGGCCCTCCCCACCGCGAGCAGCAGCAGCCGGAGGAGCCAGAACTCCACCGCGACGCCCAGGGTGGTGTCGAGGACGATCTCGATCCTAGAAGAGGACCAGCTGGCCATCGCTCGGACGTCCATTCCCTGTGTTTTTTGTTGGTTCCCTGCGTGGTTTTTTCGCCAAACGATCAAGGATGCTCCTCGATGGTGCTCGCCGAGGAAATAACGCACACGTCCGAGCGATGCCAAGCCAAGACTGCCTACACCTACCGCGGGTGCGCGCCGTTTCGACCCAAGCGCTGGCTTCTACCACCGCGGGGATCGTTCAGCCTTGGACGATCGAGCGCGTGTCTTTCTTCGGGGCACAACGGGCGTTCTGGGGGGGGGGGGAGGGGGAGAGGCTGGCCATCGCTCGGACGTCCATTTTTCCGTGTTTTTTTCGGTTTCGTGCGTGGTTTTTTCTCGCCAGATGATCAAGGATGCTCCTCGATGGCCCTCGCCGAAGGAACAAACGCACACGTCCGAGCGATGCCAAGAGAAGAGGACCCAAGACTGCCTACACCTGCCGCGGGTGCGCGCCGCGTCGACCCGAGCGCTGGCTCTTCTACCGCCGCGGGGATCGTTTTCAGCCTTGGACGATCGAGCGCATGTCTTTCTTCGGGGCATAGCGGGCGCTCTGGGGGGGAGGGGGAGGAGGAGGAGGAGGAGGAGGAGGAGGAGGAGGAGGAGGAGGAGGAGGAGGAGGAGGAGGAGGAGGAGGAGGAGAAGGAGAAGGAGGAGGAGGAGGAGGAGGGGGCATAGCGTAGCGCCCCCCCCCCACCGCCTGGCTGCGGTGCCGGACTGCGGCATTGCAAGGGGACGCACTGAGAGGGGGGGCGTTGCGTTATGGGGGTGGGGGAGGGGGGGGAGGCAAGCTAGGTGCGCTCGCGTCATCTCTGTCGTCATGCTCCTCCCTCCCAACCCTCACCATTGCGCAGATCTCCCTTTATGCGCACAGGCTGATGTCGAGCAAGGCAACGATCCCGAGAGGGCTTGCGATGCATGGTATAAAGTACGGCGTGGCATGGTACAGAAGAGCGCGGCAAAGCAGAACATGCCATAGCATGGGCTTGGCGTTGCGTAGTGTAGAATATGGACAAGAAAATTCCACTACTCGCAAACGAACTGCTCGCAAATTGCCGGGATCCGCCGCGGGGGATCTACGATTATTCTACATGAGGAAGAGAACCTGTTTTTTCTGGACGTTTGCGAGTGGGCACTTTGCGAGTAGTGGAACGCCCTCGGCGAGCTTGGGGGGGTTCCCCCTGTAGAGGGACGGGCCCGACTTAAGCATAACAAGAGTTATGGCCAAAAGGGTACAACATCTCATCAGACGTTCCCGCAACGCCAAATCGTTCCGCTCGGGGATCTTCTGACCCGGGTCAATCCAGACCCGGGTCAGCAGGAAACCAAAAACTGCACTGCAGAAAAAAAAAACTGTAACGCAGGTCTTCGCAAACCCGGGTCAGCCAATATGTGCGGCCGCCTCGCGGCCACGAGCGGCTCGCTAACCCGGGTCAGCCAAAGAGGGTCTTCGCAAAATCCTGCAAGATCCGGTGCCGCGGCTGACCCCCGCTTGCACTGACCCTGCAGGATCCTGCAGGATCCGGTGCCGCGGCTGACCCGGTGGGGTTCGCTCCGCTCGGAGATCGTGGGGGGTAGGGGTAGGGGTAGAGTTCGCTCCCCCTCAGAAATCGTGGGGGGTAGGGGTAGGGTTCGCTCCCACCTCGATCGAAGTGAACCCCACCCTCGAAGGGTTCCTTTTCAGAATGTGGTCTTCGCCTTGGCGCCAAGCGCATTCGTCTTAAGAGTTTCCAGCAGTTTCAAGGAGTCTTGCGGTTGACGTCCAAGACATGGTGTTCTGGCACGATGTGAGCCTGTCAGGGCGCAGTAGCCACGACTTCTGCGGGGGAGGGTGGGGTTCACTTCGCTCGGGAGCTACCGAACGAAGTGAACCCCACCCTCCCCCTCAGAAATCGTGGGGGGTAGGGGTAGGGTTCGCATGCGGCCCCCTACCCCCGTGCGCAACTGTGACGTCTCGGGGGCCCTCCGGCGAATGCAGTGGGGCACGTCGGGTTCGTGTCGTGCCGTCTTCGGCGCTGGTTTTTCTGACACCGGGATCATTCAACCTTGAACGATCGGCCGTTTCCGAAACGTCCAACTCACTCCACATCGAACGATTCTGGGTCGCCCGCGGCGTTTTAAGTTGAACGCCGCTGGCGGGGTCCCCGCTGGTCGACACGACACGAACCTACCGTATCTTTCGGCACATCTGAGCGACGAACAGAAGCGGGTCTTGCGCGAGACGCCGTAGCGACCTTACGCCGCGGCTCACGCGGGCCGCCAGCGCGGCACGCCACATCGAAGACGAGGGCGCTTACGCGCGACCTCACGCGGGGAGCTTGCGCGCCAATGCCGGCGAAAACGACCCCGTTTTTTGGCGTCGCCCGTCTGGAGCCGGGTGTGGGGGGCCATATGCGAACCCTACCCCTACCCCCCACGTTTTCCGAGCGAAGTGAACCCCACCCTCCCCCTCAGAAATCGTGGGGGGTAGGGGTAGGGTTCGCACGTGGCCCCCTAGGGTGGTCGTTCGACCTTGAACGATCCCCCTCGGAAATCGTGGGGGGTAGGGGTAGGGTTCGCATGTGGCCCCCTAGGGTGGTCGTTCGACCTTGAACGATCGGCCGTTCCCGAAACGACCGATCGTCCCACATCGACTGGTTCTGGGTCGCCCGGGGTTTTCCTTGTGCTGCATCCTCGGGGGGGCCTTGCCTGTCCTGTCGCTGCCCTACAGTCGAGGAACTATCAGAAGGAACGCTAAAGACGAGCCAAGAGCGACAGAAGACACCCCCAAAAGGGTACAAGAGGGCCTCGACTCGACGAACGACGGCCCAAAGACGCCCAAGACGGCCCGAAGACGGCCCAAGAGGCCCTCAAGACGCTCCAAGAGAGCCCCAAGAGCACACCCAAGAGGGCCCCAGGCGCCAAAATCGTCAATTTTACATTGGTTTTCGAATGATTTTGGCCTTCTCGCCTTTTCGGCTTTCCGACACTCCAAGACGGCCCAAGAGGCCCCCAAGAGGCCCCCAAGAGCGCCCCAAGAGGCCTACAAGAGGGCCCCAAGACGGCCCAAGAAGGCCCCAGGACAGCCTAAGAGGCGCCCAAGGCCCACGGCCCCAAGAGGGCCCCAAGACGGGCCCAAGAAACGGGAGGGGGACGAGGAACCGAGAATTCGAGACTTCCGCCCTAAGAGGCCCCCGGGAAGCCCCAAGAGGCCCCCAAAAGGCCCCAAGAGGCCCCCGAGCGGCGCCAAGACGCCCCCAAGATGCGCCGAAGACGGCCTCCGGAAGCCCCAAGAGGCCCAAAAGAGGCCCCAAGAGGCCCCACAACGGCCCCCAAGAGGCTTCAAGTTGCCTTCCAGACGCCCCCGAGAGGTCAACCACGAGATCCCAACCAACATCCATAAGGCCTCCTCCTCCTCCCCCTTCACCCTTCCTCCTCCTACTCCCTTCCGCCTCCTCCTCCTCCTCCTCCTCCTCCTCCTCCTCCTCCTCCTCCTGCCCCCCCCCTCGTGTTGTCTTTCGTCATCTTCAGGGTCGGCGGCAACGGCCGTAAGGCCTTCGCAATAAGGAACGAAGCCCCTTCGTGGCCCCAGAAGCGCCTAGGTGCACGAGGAGTGATGGAGGAAGAGCCATGGAAAAACTTAAGGAACGACGAGCCCCTTCCGCACCCGAGGCGATCCATATTTCAGCGTCTTGGCTGTATCCGCGTCGAATCCGTGTCGAGTCCGTGTCGGCCTCGTCGGATCCGCGTCGAATCCGCGTCGAATACACGCCAAAGCCGCGTCGAGGCCGCATCGAGCCCGCGCCGGGCACAACAAAAGACACCAGTGCAGGGGGCCGGCGAGGTCGGAGGAGGAATGTAGGGGGCCTGCGAGGGAGGGGAGGAGGAGTAGAGGAGGAGTAGAGAGGAGGAGGAGGAGGAGGAGGAGGAGGAGGAGGAGGAGGAGGAGGAGGAGGAGGAGGAGGAGGAGGAGGGAGGAGGAGGAGGAGAGGAGGAGGAGGAGGAAGGAGGAGAGGAGAGAGGAGTAGAGGAGGAGTAAGAGGGAGGAGGAGGAGGAGGAGGAGGGGAGGAGGAGAGGAGGAGGAGGAGAGGGCACTTTGGGAGCCTCTAGGGGCACCCTTGGGAGCCCGAGGCCCCCCGCAGACTCCACACGGCGCTCCGCGGCGAGGACGCGCCAGCCGGCGGGCCGCCCGCCGCCCTGCGGGGGACGCCGCAGGGCTTCTCCGGGAGCTCGTGCTGGCTTCGTGGATCCGCTCTGGGCCGCCCTCCTCCTCCTCCTCCTCCTCCTCCCTCCTCCTCCTCCTCCTCCTCCTCCTCCTCCTACTCCTCCTCCGCCTCCTCCTCCTCCTCTCCTCCTCTCCTCCTCCTCCTCCGCCTCCTCCTCCGCCTCCTCCTCCTCCTCCTCCTCCTTCTCTCGCCGTCGCTCGCACATCCGTGCCCCCGTGCATTTTTGTTCGACCCCGTGCGCCTATGTTTTTCACTGGGTGGCCCACGATGCTTCTCCCGGCGGGAACGAAAAGGGGGGATAGCCAAGGGTAGGTAGGGTAGAGAATCAGCTCACGTGGCTGCTTTTCCCGGCGCCGGGAGGCGCCCATGTCCTCGAGGCATGGGCCCGGCGGCGGGGCCGAAACCAGCTGCGTGCGGCAGATTTCGTGACCCACCCGTTCCCTCTCCCCCCCTTTCGTGCGGCCCGATTCTCCACAGAAGAACATTTCGTTGAAACCACAAAAGGTTCTTAGAACATTCGTTGGTAGGCCTAGCCCCTACCCTGGGTTACAAGTGCGTGGTCTGTAAACCTCCTGGGAGCTCCTAAAGGCCAGAGAGCCGCCAGGACGCCGCGCGATACGCGCGATGTGCAGGGTTCACCCTGTCAGCCCTCAGGAGGCTCGGCGCACAGCGCCTTGTAAACCAGGGCAGGGGCGCTTCTTACGCCCTTGACCAGAGGCGAGCCAGGACGCTTCGCCACTGCATGACAAACGCTCCTCGATGGCCCCCGCCGCGACAGAGTGCACACGCCCGAGCGAAGCCAGAGTGCACACGCCCGAGACAGCGTGCACGCGCCCGAGCGATGCCAACGCGCCAGAGTCGGCGGTGGACAAACCTCCCTTTAGTAAACCTCCCCTTCGTGAAGACGACCCGGGGCCGAAACCGACGGACCTGGACCCGCAAAAACGACGGCCGCGACGCCCTCTCGCGAACCGAAAACGGCCAATTCCTGAATCGACGTGTCAGGGTAGGAGGTCTGTCCACCCCCGACTCTTAGAAGGGGCCGGGGGACACACAAATAAACAGACACATCAGCAGAAGGGGCCCAGGGACACACAAGTAAACAGACACAAATCCCAGGGTTCCCCATGTTTATGTCACTTTTCGTTCCCCTAAGATTGGGCGCCCGACTTATCCGGGGTAACTCGGGTCTGGGGTAACTCGGGTTTGGATTCCCGAAAAACGAACCCGAGTTAGCCCTGACCCGAGTTACCCCTGATGATGTGGGGCTCTGGGCGCCCGACTTATCCGGGGTAACTCGGGTCCGGGGTAAGTCGGGTACGGATTCCCGAAAAACGAACCCGAGTTAGCCCTGACCCGAGTTACCCCTGATGATGTGGGGCTCTGGGCGCCCGACTTATCCGGGGTAACTCGGGTCCGGGGTAAGTCGGGTTCGGATTCCCGAAAAACGAACCCGAGTTAGCCCTGACCCGAGTTACCCCTGACGATTCGGGGCTCTGATAAGAGTGCACGCGCCCGAGCGATGGCCCCCGCCGCGACGGAGTGCCCACGCCCGAGCGATGCCGGCGTGCCGGGGCCCCCGTGGCGGAGCCTCCAGCGCCGCCGCCGGCAGGCGCTCCGCGTGCCAAGGGGTGGGGGGCGTGCCGCCGATCCGAGAGAGCCGCGCGGGCTTCTGGAAGTCTATGCTTGTACAGCGTCTCCATCTTCTTTTTAGTACCATTATTGTTCTGCTTCGCAGTATTACCCTTATTATCATAAGTATTACTACTGCTGTTATATTATTATCACTGTTCGTATTATAATCACCATTCATATTACATGGATCTTATCATCATCATCATCATCATCATCATCATCATCATCATCATCATCATCATCATCATCATCATCATCATCATCATCATCAGCAGCAGCATCAGCAGCAGCAGCAGCAGCATCATCATCATCACCATCATCAGCATCATCATCATCAGCATCATCATCATTACTATTATTACTGCTGTTCTGTATTGTTGTCATTATTATTGTGATTGGCATTATTATTAGTTTTCTTATTTTCCGGTAATCTGTATGACTACTTTTTGTATGATTCGTCTTCTTCGCGGTCCAGTACACGGCGCACTGGTCCCCCTGGCCGATGGACTGCCCCAGTGCCCATGCGCAGAGCAAGTTCAGGCAGTGGGTCCAGCCTGCCGGGTGGCGACAGCCGAGCCTCACCCCCACCAGCCATCGGCTCTCCTGCATCGGTGGGCGGCGGGGGAGGCTGCGGCTTTCGCCACGTGCTCGACGAGTGCCGAAGCCTAACCCCCCTGCCGCCCATCGAGCTGCCCGCATCGTGCATCGGCGAGGGTAGAGGGTTCAGTCGGGCCCGTCCCCCGTACAGGCGGATTTTGGACGAAAGACAAAACAAATACCCCACAGATGCTCCACAAATGCTCACAGCTAGTCCAAAAACTCGTCCCCAGACTACTTTTTCGACTCTTTCTGTAGAGGGACGCGCCCGACTTACAACGCAGGGCTCGGAGAGCGCCGCCGACCTGCACCGGCGACCTGCTTGGAGGAGTCCAGGGCGAACTGCCGCGCGGTCCTGCCGCAGCCGCCGCGCCAGAACTTCAGCCCGAGCGCGGCGGCGCTGAGGGCGAGCATCGGGCCGGGCGAAAGGGGCGGGTAGCAAAAGGGGGGTTCTGAGCATCGGCCCACGCAGCCGAGTTGCCCGGCGCCTCCCGGCGCCAGAGGCGCCCATGCATCGAGGAAGGGGCCCCGATCGGCGAGGCCGAGAGCAGCTGGCTGCAGCAGGTCTCGTAACCCCCCCTCTCCCTCTCCCCCCATCTCGTTCGGCCAGCTGATTTTCCCGGCGCCTCCCGGCGCCGGAGGCGCCCGTGTATCGAGGCAAGGCAAGGGCCCCTCGGCGAGGCCGAAAGCAGCTGCATGTGCAGCAGGCTTCGTAACATCCCCTCTCGCGTCCGGCCCGAGAGCAGCAGGCACTGGACGAGCACGCCGCGGAGGCCCGGCAGGACGGCGCAGTGCCCCATGTGGGAGTCGCGCCGCCGCGGCGCGCCGGCGGCGCGCACCGAAGGGGGGAGGGGGGGAGGGCTTCTTTCGGCGGTGGACAGACCTCCCTTTATTAGCCCTCCCCTCGGGGGCGGCCAAGAGGGGGGTGTCCAAGAGGGGGGAATGCAAATCATGAGTGGCGGCACGCGGCACGTGCGCGGCCCAGCGGGGGGGCCAGGGACGTAAATGAAATAAGAAGAGGCGCCACGAAATCTGGGGAAATATCATGGCCCCCGCCATGATATCCACTCCCCCCCTAGTCATTACCCCCCTCTTTTCCGCCCCCGACTCCCCCCCCCTTAGTGAAAACGACCCGGGGCCGAAACCGGCGGACCTGGACCCGCAAAAGTGATGGCCGCGGCGCCCTCTCGCGAACCGAGAAGGGCCAATTCCTGAATCGACGTGTCAGGGTAGGAGGTCTGTCCATCCCCGATTCTTAGAAGGGGCCTGGGGACACACAAATAAACAGACACATCAGTAGAAGGGGATCTAGAAGGGGTCCAGGGACACACAAGTAAACAGACACAAATTCCAGGGTTCCCCATGTTTTCCCATATTTTCTGTGCTTTCGTCTCCCCCCCCACACTTCCCATATTTTCCTGCATTTTCCTGGGAGTCGACGACTAATTGTGTCTGCGTGTTTTTCCCCTCCTGATTCTTAGAAGGAAGCTGCTTCTCAGAAGGCGCTGGCCCTACATCTACAGACAAGGCCCGCGCCTTCTAGGAACTAGGGTGCCTCTACGAAGCTTTCCCCAGTCCCCCTGCCCCCCTTCTGCGCGTGGCCAACCGGTGCGAGAGGCCTAGGAGATGGTCGAGTTCAAGGCCGAGTTCTGGAAAGTTCGGTGAGATCGTCCCCGAAGTGCGGGACGCTGCGTTCGAGAAGCCAGAAAATCTTTACACGAGCGCGCCTTCTCCCCCTTAACGGCCGGCGCTCCCGCGCCAGCATGTGGCAAACCAAACAAAGCCTGCGAGGGAAGAGCGGATCGGTGTGATATGGGCGACTGGACCCCGCCCTAGGCCTCTCGCCTGGCTGCAGAACTTGGGGACAGACGGGCGACCCGCGAGATCGGACAGCAACCACCCCGATCCCCTGGGCGCCTCGAGCCCTCCAACAAAAAGGGCCTGCACCCATGGCGTCGCGCACGTGTGCCTGGGCAGAGAAGAACTCGCCATCGCTCGGACGTCCATTCCCTGTGTTTTTTTTCGGTCTCTTGCGTGGCTTCTTCGCCAAATGATCAAGAATGCTCCTCGATGGTTCTCGCCGAGAAAAAAATGCACACATCCGAGCGATGCCAGGAGAACACTGGGCCCCGCGCCCAGGGGATCGCTGGCCCACCGATCCCGCCGGCCCAGCTGGCGCGCGCCAGGCGCGTCGGCCAGAGCACCTGAAACGGCTGCGGGTCGACGCGTGCAGCTGCCACCGCTGACCCACGCGCTTCGGACAAGTCCGGCTCGATCACCCCCGAGAACGCGTGTTGGCGCCCACGTGTGCTTGCCCACCGAAGACCTTCAGCGCGGCGCGGGCGGCGCAGCCAGGGCCGCCACGAGCTGCGCACGATCGGCGGTGCTGAACGGGGTGAACACTCGGGGGACGCGCTGACATGGACCAGGGATTCGTGGATCTGGCGCGTGGGCGCCAAATCTGAAGGAGCCCAGGGACACAAGTAAATACACACAAATAAACAGATTCCCAATATTTTCTCGTGTTTTCTGGGTTTCTGTCTTCCCCACCACGTCCCATATTTTGCCATATTTTCTGGGGAATCGGCGATAAATTGTGTCTGTGTGTTTCTTCCCCTCCTGAAAATCCACGGATCGGGGAAGGGCGCCCCCCGAAACGCAAGGCCAAGGCCGCCTGATCACGCGACGGATCGCGCCGATCCCGCGCGGAGACGGGTCCCGCCGCCAATCCGCACGCCTTTTGTCCATGCTTGCGCTTCCTCGGAACATGCGCTGAACTGACACTCCCATATCGACTGCTGTTCGCCTCAACTGCTGGCCCTTCATACTCTACTGGGTGATGTGGGTTGCTGTATTGTAAGTCGAGATGGTCGTCAGGCGCGAGCAGCACATGGAAATGCTAACTGCGACCGAGCATTGTCGATAGCGCAGCGTGCACACTGACTCCCACTGCAACATGCAAGCGATGGGTGGGTTAGAGGAAGTGTAGGTCCAAACGAAACACGCGGCGGCCAGGCAACGGGGAGAGCACTCCACTCAAAGTGAACTGGAGCGCTGCTGTTGGTCATCCGTGCCTGCGCTTCCTCGGAATACACGTCGAACTGACTGTTTTCGTCTGCGGCGGGGCGGCGAAATCCGCTCCGGCGAGAAGCTAGATAGCGGCACTGACTAGCGAATTGGCCAGCGAGCACAGAGGGAAGGGGGACGGCCGAGAGGAAGAAAGGACGCTCAGACGCCGAAGAGTTCGACGATGAGCAGCCGGGCGGGCAGCAGCGGCCAGGCGCGCATGGACAGAGCGCGGTGGGCGGCCGTGCCGTGGGCGTGGGAGTGGCAGCCAGCGCCAGTGGCTGGACACGTCGAGCTGACACGCGTACTGATGATCATCGACCACTCCCCCGTCGTGATCGGGAAGCAGGAAAGGAGGAGGAGGAGGAGGAGGAGGAGGAGGAGGAGGAGGAGGAGGAGGAGGAGGAGGAGGAGGAGGAGGGAGGAGGAGGAGGAGGAGGAGGAGGGAGGAGGAGGAGAGGAGGAGGACGAGGAGGAGGAGGAGGAGGAGGAGGAGGAGAGGGGGGAGGCGGAGGAGAAGCAGGAGGAGGAGGAAGAGGAGGAGGAGCAGGAGGAGGAGGACCAATGCAAACCCAAGACGCACCAACGATGGTGCGATACACCCTCCCTCCAAATTCCCTCGGGTGCCTACGAGAATGGATGCTCATTGCGGGAAGTGCCCCGTGGGGAGACAACCGTCGGATAATCCTCACTAGTGCCAGAGCACACATCCTGGGACTTCCACGTCGCGAATCAACGTGACTGTTGCGTCCTGACAATCCTAAACCGTGCCAGAACACCATTCTTCCTCGAATTCCCACACCACGAATCAAACATACGGATGCATCCTGACAATCCTCAATCGTGCCAGAACACCACTCCTGGGATTTATTTGAGCCATACGAATCCCTGGGACCGCTGCAAAGGTTTAAAATGGATGTTCGCGGCGCTAGGGCGAGAACAACATTTTGAAAATGAGCCGCCCTGAATGTTTGAAACTGCTGCATTTGTTGTACGAATGTGCGGCGCGATTGCGAGAACCACATTTGAAAACGACTCGCCCTCCATCCGTGAAACTGTTGCAATTCTCCAGTTCCGGGATCATAAATGGTGACGAAGTCTCAAGCGAAACGCCCGGCCCGTCCTACCGACTCGTCTGGGGGTGTGACACGGACGACAAATTCGTAAGGGTGGAGGAGGAAGACGACTCTTGTTTGGCTTATGAGATCATAACTCCGGGTTCTGGCGGCCGTTCGGGACGATCCAGGCGTCCCTCGGAGCGTCCTCGGCGAGGCGCAACCGCCAGCTGGCATCCCGAGGCTTGAAAGCCGCCAGGGTCCGACGAAAACGCCCGAAGACCTCGAGCCTCGGAGAAACACAACGAGAACCTCGAACCTCGCCACTAACGTTGCCCCTTCCGCCCCTGATGAGACGAAAATACGAGGGAAGGGGAGGAGGATGGGGTGAGGGAGTCGAAAGACCTCTGGTGCTCTCCTCCTCCTGGTGGCCGAACGGCCAGGCAGCACGCACGAGAGAAATGATCGTCATCATAACCATGCGGAGGCGTGCTGATCTTTGACTGATAGCTTCACTTTCTGTCGACAGTTCGGCGGGTCCCCGCCTTCATCTGTAAGCCAAAGGCTGCGGCGGGCGCAGGCATGCGGCAACGCTCGCTCCCGCTCTCCCTTGCACCCTTTCACTCGGGTCGGGAATTCGAGCGCTCTGCGCGGCACTCCAGCACACTGCGCACTGAGAAGGCCACTGGCTGCAGCCCGCTCAAGCGCCACTCACTGCTGAAGCCCAGCTTCACGAGGGCCGTCCGGTCGAGCTCGCCCTTCGTCAGCCCGTCCGCCAGCATGTCCACGGTGTCGATCCAGCTGAGCTGTGCCAGCTGGAGGCGGTCGATCTGCTCACGCACTGCGAGCGTCGGCACGAACATGCGCTTGTCCGTGGTCACCTTGATGGTGGCGGCGGAGACGGCGTCGAACACTGCCTTCGCGTCGATGGCCGCGATCATCTTCAATACTAGGTCGCCGGCCTCCTGCCGCACTCGCATCTGGTTCGCCGTGCATACTCCTTCACTGATCTCGGTCAATGCCACATTCATAAGGGTGCCAGTGCCGAGTGCGTCCAACAACGTCATGAGCTCGGCGGCGTAGGTGGACATGACTACGTTGTTCTGCTTTCTGCTGTACCAGTCAAGCATCACGATCCTGTACGTCGATCCGGTTTGAAGCACATCGTCGTCGGACTCCAGCAACATGATCACACATCCTCGGATCGCCAAGCCTTCGAACTCCATGGCGTGGAAGGCTGAGTCGCTGACGACGACCAGCCGCACTCGTGTCATGTCCAACTCGATGAACCGAACTCCGAGCTGATTCGAGTTCACCATGATCCACTTCAGCAGCCTGTTGATCTTCCGGATGTCTCCGACCGACGGCTTCTTGGCCTGCCGCTGGAGATAGCTGACGTACACTGCAATGGGCGCCATCGTCTGCGTCATCCATGCGATCCCCCCGAGCAGCGACATATACGCCGCGTGGGTCTCCACGCTCACCTGGCCATCTTCGTTCTCCATCACATACTGGTCTTCCTGGAGCGGTCGCAGCTGCTGAACGTAGTGCTGCTGATGCGTCCAGATGGCCTTGGTCACAGCGTCCTGCTCGTGCATGATGCCAATGCACTCAAAGCAGTCGTACTGGCGCTTCAACTTCCCGAACTCGCTCTCGATCATGTTCAGTACCTTCTCCCGCAGGTAGTCCTCGCCGCCGCCCTTGAGGTCGTCCACGTGCGAGGACATGATCATCTGCAGCTCGCCCTTCGCGTCGTGGTACACGTAGATCTGCGGGTCGCTGATGAGCGCCTTGCCTCCTGTCTTCTCCAGCACTTGCTTCAACATGACCTGCCACAGCCTCGGCGCGTCCTTCAGACCGAAGCCGCAGCGCAGGAGCAACAACACCTCTGTCACAGGGTTGTAGTCCTCGTAGCCCTCCAGCTGCCGGAGGACTGGGATCGATCCTGGCGGCATCGTGAACTGCACCTTCCGCTTGACCTCGCCGTCCATGGCGGCAACCTGCTCGAAGGTGAGACCGCGCAAGAACGCCTGGCTGATGTCCGCTGAGAATAATCGCCACTTGCGCTGTGCAGTCACCTGATTCACCAGTCGCTGTCCCCATCGTGTCGTAGTACCCGCAAAAGTGGACAGCTCCGGTGACTGCATGTCCTTGAAGCCTCTCACCGTGAGCCTCGCGCGCACCTGCTTCTTGCCGTCGATCTCCTTCCACTTGAGCACCCAGCGCGAGTCGATGATGTTAGTCGCCTGGTCCTTCGGGAAACGCTGGAATGCCTTCAACTCCGCCCAGCGCTGGAGCTCGTCCTTCATGGCCTGACGTACTTCAACTTCGTGAGCTCGGGCCTCTTCCAGCGTGAGCACGTTCATCTCGCGCTCGACGACAATCTCGCGCTTGCCCGTGTTGTAGACGCGCAGGATGTAGATCTCCCCTGACCCAGGTCGTCGTATGTGCTCCACCTCAGGGTGCACCCAGTACATGAGTGGCGCACCTATGCCGATCTCGACGCAGTCGGGTCGGGAATTCGAAGAATCATCCTCTACTGCTTCTGCCACGTGATCTGCGTCCGGGGCTGCGAAGAAGAAGTCGCTCTGAGTGCACTCGATGTCAACAGCAGGCAGAGCGGCCTGCTCCTTCAGGTGCTGCCAGCTCGCGAACAGGTGCTCCTGGGTCGCGTCGCTGTCCGAGTCGCCGTCGTCGTCTTTGCCACCATCATCCTTGATCGGGAGCACTGGCTCATGTAGGGGTGCAGGAGCCTCAGCTGTCGCCGCTGGCTCGCCTGCACCTCGGGCTCCATGATCACGGTCCGGGCCATCACGTGAGCGCGATCTCTCTCGAGCTCCCCCGCCTGGCTTCACAGGCGGCTTCACAGGCGGCACGGTGGTGTTGGCAGCGGCCGGAGCAGGGGAAGGCCCTCGTGGTCGATGTTGCCCTCGGTTGCTCCGACTCCTCGTCGAATCCGATGCTGCACTCGTCTGCCTGGATGCGCTAGATATGCTCGTGTCGGGCACTGGCATTGATGCACTTGTCTGTCTAGATGCGCTCGGTATGCTCGTGTCGGATATCGGCTTGTCCTGCCAGGTCATGTCGAAGTCTTCCTCCTGAAGCTCCGGCGGCTCCTGAAACGGTCCGGGTTCAGGTCGCTCTGGCTGTTCATACCGTCGTGCGTGTGGAAGGTTGCCGAACCACGGACCCCCAAGATGCGGAACCTCGGGTTCACGTCGCCGAAGTTCGCGAACGGACTCGTCGTCTGTCATGATGAACTGCACGAAGCTGACGTCCCGCCAGTGTTCCTTGTCAAATATCGGAGCCAACTTCAGGCGAGCAGATCCAGACGCCTCGTGGTACCAGGACAGCTCTGGGCGTCCGCGCCGCCACCACCACAGGAAGCTGCGGTCGCATCCGACCATTCCTTCGAGCACGGACACGCCATTGCCCACTCGCGCGCCGATGCACCCCACCAGGTAGAAGCCACTGGCGGCAACGTGCAACACCGTCAGGACCAACTCGCTGAGCTTCTGGCTGTCCGCGGTCCGCTTCCACCCGGCGTCGAAGAGCCACCCGACGCGCACGACCTTGCTGTCCAGCTGGTCCGCGTAGCTCATGATGGTGGCCACCGAGTCGCGCGATCCTGCCTCGAAGAAGATGTTATTCGTGAACATCACGAAGTAGACGAGGCTTCGCCGAAGGTCCTGAGGTCGTACTTGAAATACTCGGCCCTGCCATCGAATGAGCACTGGAGGTCCGACCTGCAGTAAGGTCGCCGGGCCGCGCCACCCCGACTCCTCCTTCGTGCTCGGCGGCCGGTGGAAGTCAACCTGGTCGCCGACCACCAGCTGCAGCGCCTCGTGCGGGGCGCGCGTCTTGGATCGAAGTGCGCGCCTCAGCCTGTCCTTCGCAGTCATCTCCACCATGGCTTGTATTGCGACTTCGCGGAGCCGATTGGGAGGCGCGTGTATATACACCGACCTGTTCGGGCCGATTTTTGTTTTGAGTGTTGGGCCAGAGCGGTTTTGGCGCAGTGGCCGATAGAGGGAGCAAGCGCCATGCGCCCCGCCTGGGCGCGTTTGTCCAGGGGCGGGCAAGGCCGCAGCGGCCCCGGCACCCATGGCGGAAAACCGCCGCCCATGGTGGTGATGCCGTCTCTAGGCGAGGGGTGCCTCGTTTCGAGGCCATGAATGCGTGCCCGTAGCCGGGCACGCGAGAAAATTTAAACAGGGCCGCGCGCTGGCCGGGGAACGCGCGCGGGCCTGCTCGCCAGCACCCCAACCCATCCACCACATTGGGGAGGGGAGGAGTACAAACTCTGGCCCGATTGGAAATGATGCCGCCAAGGGGGTTTGAGCCAAATATGGGCGACGGGCCCGCGTCCCCACGATCACCCCCCCTCCCTTCCCAACTCACCATCGCCCCCCCATTGACCCCGCCACGACCTCGCCTCCAGCCTCCGTCTCCGTTCACAGACTCCTTCCCTCCCCCCCCCTGCGTTCCTCCACCCCCCACTGTCCGTTCACCCATCCCCCTCCCCGCTCCCATGCCTTTCGCTCGGAACTCCCCGCTCCCACTCCCGTTCCCTGCGCCCGCCAGCCCCTCCCTTTCCCTCTCACTCCCCACCCGTCTCTGCCCCGATCCCCCCCCCCAATCGCTCCATCCAGGCCCCGTATCCCTGCCGCCCTCTCCGTCCCCTCTAACCCCCTAAAAAACGAAAACGGAGCGTCAAGGTATTGTGATGTGGTTTCCAATCCTACACAAATGGGGCACCGCCGCCTGCCACGGCCTGCCTGTGGCCCGTTCTATCGGTGGCTGGGAGCGAAGCCCCGGGTCACCGGGGCCACAGAAATTCTGGGAGGCTCATAGGGCGAATTCCTATGGCCTGATCGGTGTATAAAATTTCGGCGGGCCGTTCTGCCTGATACATTCCGAAATGTTCGTCGTCCCGAAATTTTATACACCAATCGGGCCTTGGATTTTTCTCCTATAGTTTCCGGATTTTGCATAGTCCCCCGTGGCCATGGAAAGTGGGCGACCGCATGCGGACGCCCCCGCTGGGACTGCAGGTGAAGCTCCACAGGGAGCACAACCTGATTGAAAGGTGCGACGACATAGCCGGGGGGGGGGCCTCCGCGCCAGGGCCGTGCGCGGAGCCGCCATGCGGAGCACGATCTGTTCAAACGCAAGCAGACATTTGCACGATTACGCCATGCGCAAATATGACTGCCCTTACTGGGCTTGTACGCGGCGCTCCTTGTGGGGCGCCATCCGCTTGAAAAGGCGTGCCAAAAACGGGAGCGGAGACGCCATGGGAATTCCAAATGGGGCCACAACTGTATGGGCGCGATCTTCGCGAGGGGCGTGCCGACGCGGGCATGGAGGCGCACTTGGAGCGCCCCCGCGACGGCCGTAGGCGAAATTCCATCAGTGGCGCGAGCCGCGGGAAAGGCGTGCCGCAGTGGTTGCGGATAAGCTTTGGGGGCGCCCCCCTTGAGCCTGCGGGTGGAGCCCATTGCGGGCTGCAGTCCGCGCTGGGGGGCGTGCCGAAATGAGCGCGGAGACACTTTAAGCACGCCCCTACCAGGATGGTCGATGAAGCTTCATATGGGGCACGATCCGTGCGAGGGGATTACCGAACTGATCACAACGTTCGCAGCAACGGCAGCGGATGGTAACGACGGTCCACCAGCAGCATGCAGCAGGCAACGCAGCGGACGCGGCTGCGAGCGGAGGGGGGCGGGGGGAGGTGGGTAAATGAGGAGGAAGACGCGCGGTGCAGCAGAGGGAAAATGAAGCACATGTAAACGAAAAAGAAATGGAAAACAAGCGGCACCGAAAAAAAAAACTGCTATAAATTCTACACCCGGGGAATGGATTGGTGTATATATACACTCCTCCGACCGATGATGGTGTCGGGAGATCCCTGGAATGCCAGCCGATTGGTCGTCGATCTGGCAGTCGCTCACCGGCTCGAACTCGGCGAGCAGGGGCGGAAGTCGGCCGTACACCGCCTGGTAAGGGCTGTAGCCAGCCACGGTGATGAGAAGGTTCTTGATGAGGGCACACTCCATGATCACGATCTCCAACGGCATCACAATGCCTTCTTCCGCAAGCTGGACCTGCACGCGGTGTATGATCTTGCGCACTAGGTCGTGATGGCGTTCCACCAGCTGCGCGTGCGAGCCCTCCTCTTTGGCCTTCATCTCAATGCCCCAGCGGTCCAGCCACTGGTACGCCTCCTCGCCATGGAGACCGCCCTCGATGTCGGCAATCAGCAGCTTCATGGGGCCATGAGGGCGTAGCCATCCCTGAGTGATGCCGGCGATAATCATGATCGCTGTCTTGCGTTCCAGAATGTACAGCACCGTCCAGCGGGTCGCCTCATCGATCATGTGTGCTACCATATGTTCGCCGATGTAGAGGATGTCCCACTGCACCATCTCGTTGAAACCCGTCGCGAGCCGAGAGATCGTCATGCTCTTCGGTCCCGGTCTCGTCCATAGCCTACACACCCGGCACGTGTCGCAGATCTCCTTCACCAGGGCCAGCGTAGAGGCAGGAGCGCCGGCCTTGGTCAGCAGCTCTCTAAGGCGAGCTGCTGGAGCGTGCCAAAATCGAACATGAAGTCGTCGGAGCTGGCGCCGAACGACTTCCTGGTGTGGGCTGTGCAGCAGTCGAAGCGCGTGCCCGAGGTCAAACGCGGTCCAGCCTGGCTCGTCACTTCCTCGAGCCTGCGTCCCCGCATCCACGCCTCGGGGTGGCGCGGCCGGGGCCGCAGCCGGCTGCTCCGCGACGGGTGCCTCGCCGATGGCGTCCGCCGATCCCGAGGCGCCGCCTGATGTCTCGTCCGGCTCCGCCTCTCCAGCTGCTGGCAGGCGCGATCGCAATCGCCGTGCCGCCGCTGTCGCTCGAGCCACTCGAGGTCGACGCTCCGCAGGCACAGGTGGAGGCAGTGGCGGTTCAGGTTCGGCATCTGGCGCGTCGGCTCGCGCGGCGCTCGGTGCCTGGTTCGCAGTCGGCTCCTCGGAGGCTGGTGGTTGTCTCGGTCGTAGCTCTCGAGGTCCAACTGCTCTTGGGAGAACACTGTCTGCTCGGCATTCTCCAGGTATTCGGGTATGTCGTGTGTCTGAGGCCGCGCGACCACTCCGGCAAGCCGGGCACTTCAGGTGGCGATTCGTCGGCACAAATCTATGCTTGCATGTCTCCCCTCGATCATGGGCTGGGTGGTCAGCCGGCCGATGATGCCGACATCCAGCACACGGCTGCGCAGCGCGCGGTACTCCTGCTGTAGACGCTGCTGCTGGTGATGCCGCTGCTGCTGCTCCTGAAGCTGGTGCTGCGGCTGCTGCTGCTCCAGAGGCTGGTGCTGCGGCTGCAGACGCCGAGGAAGCAGAGGAGCCAGCTGGTCCGGATTGCACAGCGGCCGTGGGGTAGCACTCGTACACCACGAGGTGGTGTCCCTGATGCCTCACGCGCTCCACCATCTGGGAGATGCTCGCCGCCAGCTCCCGGCAGATGCCAATCGCCCACTCCGCGTGATCCTTGGGGTTCTCTAGTCGCCATTTGTCACGCTCTGGATGGGGTCCTCGGCCACCATGGGCCAGCAAAGCGTGATCGTGCTGGCCGTCGCAGCGAAACTTCCTGAGTCCGGCGAGCAGGCGCTCGTCCGAAGCCCAGAACTCCGAGGACTTCTTGATCGGTAGTCCCGTTCGCCGCCCGATCTTGCCGGCCATGCACTGGTCGACTTGGCACCACGCCACCGCGTAGTTGTTGGCGATGTGTTGCCAGTCGTCGAGCTTGTAGAAGTCGCTGCCCAACGGCTGCTCCGACACAAAGTGGCGTCCGGCGTCCATCTGAGTGCACGCCGCTGCAGCGGCGATGCGGGCCAGCCCCACTGATGTCTTGCGACTGCGAAGCCAACCGTCGTAGTTGATGACCTTATTGAGCGCCGAGAACCCCTTCAAGCTCGTACAGGGCGTGCTAATGAGTAAAACAAGAGGCTTGCCATGATACAGATATTCCCAAAACTGCCTCTGGCCCTCGTGCGTCATCAAATTGCAGTCGCAAGTGAGATTGAAGTTGGGACCGCCCCGATATCCTCGTCGCACGAGTAGCCGGGTTGTTCCAGATGCGCCACCGCACAACTCCGCGACGTCGTCGTGCTGCAGGTGGCCGTAGTAGAGGTTCATGTGTGTGTCCATATCCTTGACCGAGCTGAAGAAGTTCTGCTGCTCGTCTTTCTCGTTCAGGTGCGCCTCCGAGCCGATCATGCCAAAGAACTCGGACATCATGATGTACGGTTGCTCATCGATGTGCTGGTCCTCCCTGAGCTCGGTGCCGTAGCACACATCGTCCAGCTCGTATTCGTTCGCCACGTAGAGTTTCGTGAAATCGGAGCCGCAGTCGTCGAAGACCTGCTCCACTGTCTGTGGCCTCTTCTTCACCTTGCGCTCCGGGTCTGCTGCCTTGCGCGCCTTGTCGCGCGTCCTCTGCTCGGTGGGAAAGCTCGCGGTCAGCGCGCTCACCTTGCAGCCGGTCTCGTCAACGTCGTCCGCGAATGATACTCGGCCAGGGCGACGTCGCTCACCTCGTGGCTGCTCCTCGTCGGCTTCTCTCAAGGCCGCTGTCCGAGATCCTGGAGGCCCGGTAGTCGTCGGATCCGTCCTTGACGACCCGGGTCGGGAATCACCCCCGGCCTCACGGCGCGGTGTAGCTGTCGCAGATGGCGACAATCCGTCGACTGCGTCGGATCTCGCGCCGCCGTCGAAGCAAACAGCGGCCACCATCCGCTTGACCAGAGCAGATACCCCTCTGGCCTTGAAGTCCAACCGATCTGCAGCAGTCTTCCGTGTAACATGTCGGCCTGCTGGCCAGCCGCAGCGGCACTTCGCGTCGTGGTCGTCGAAGTAGCTGCTGCTGACGATGCGTGTAGTCTGAGCTGCTGGTGATCCTCGAGCGTCACGCACACCGAGATTGCACCATCGTAGTCGTCCTGAGTGCCACCTCCTGTCGTCCAGCAGCTCCAGGATGTCGGGCATGTCCCACGCCGCGCTGCCCTCGTCCGCCTCGACGATGCAGCAGCGATGCCCTTCAAGTTGAGCTCGAGCGATCTTACACTCGAAGCGCTTGGCTCGCTTGTCGTTGCGAGTGCCTCGCGACGTGCCCGGCTGAGCCAGGCTGATCCAAACGAGCTCCGGCTGCTGGTGGCGCAAGGAATCCGCCCACTTATCCTCCTGCCCGAGGAATCTGTGAACATCACAGTTGCGACCCACCGCATATCCGCATCCGTGCAGCGCGTTCTGGCACAGGTTCTGCAAGTCACCGAACACCCATGCCGATGGCGGTCTCCCCTGTACTTCCCTGGTGCCCCCGCCGTCCCGAGCACCGAGATGGGGTGTCTTCGATCAGAGGTGCAGGCTGCCCGCGTCGGGCTGCCCGCTGGCGCTGTCCGATGCGGCACCACTGCCGGATGACGTCGCAGTAGTGGTCTTCCTGCTTGCCGTCCTGGTGGATGCGGTAGTCGGTGCGGTTGCTGCAGGTAAGGATGTCGAATCTGATGTCGTCGAAGTCGCCAATGCCATCGTCCTCGTGGGTCCCGAACTCCCCGATGTTCCCGTCTCGTCGTAGAGGTAGCAGAGCAGCATGAGGTGACCGGCGTGGCTCTCTTCCAGATGGTACTGCGATGATCCTGGGCTCAGCTGCAGGGAGTAGCCGCCCGGGCCGATGCGGTACATGCGATTGTTGAAGCAGTCGAGCAGTATGCGCTGGTCCCGCAGCGATGCTCGCCCGACCAGTGCCGGCACGCTGCTGTTCGGGAGCACCGGCGCCTCGTAGGTCGCGGCTTGTCCTCCCTGCAGCGCCAGTTGATAGCGATGGGCGTGCGTGGCCTGCTGAGATCCTGAGCCCACACCACCAACCTCAAGCACCCGGTCAAGTGGGGCGCGGACAGGCGGTGGACGTCCTGCCTGCTGCTGTCGCGCTGCCATCCTGTTGCCCCACTCGTCGCCAGTAAGGTTGCCTGGGCTCCCGGGGTCCACCGGCAGAGCCTCGCCACTCCTGTCCTTCATGCGGGTGCGAACCAAGTAGGTCTCCCCGCTGGCGTTCTCGAACTGATCCACTCGCCACCATGGGAACCAGGTCGGGCTGGTCACGGCCGCTGATCGCCCAACTGTCGCCGGAGGCTGCTCCTCCACAGCTCGGTCCTGCATGCTGGCCTGGATCTCCGTCAGTATGTCGTGCTCCGCGACGTTGTCGCGCATGTCAAGGGTCTCCCAGCTCAGAGCCTCGCGGGAGGTGTCCTCGTCAAGATCGTCGATCTGCAGGCCGGGCGTCCTGGCGTCCTCAGTGAACCAGTGCAGCACTCCAGACAAGGCTCCAGTCCGCGGCTGCGCGGGCACGGGCGCATAGGCGGCCAACGTTGGGTCGGCGGCAGGAGCCCCGGCCTGCTGCGTCCCCGTCGCGGCGCTGCCAGAATTCCAGGACATGAAGTGCTTGCCTTTGCCCTTGCCCTTGCGCTTGGGACAGGCGGCCACGAGGTGAGTCTCCGAGTCGCACTCGTGACACCGCATCGTGCGGCCGTCACTGCCTCGGGGATTGGTGGCGCCGGGCGTGCCAGCCATGTAGTGCTTGCCGCCCTTCTTCTTCTTACCTTTTCCTCCCGTCAGTGAACCTGGGTTCACCACCGATCCGCCGAAGTGGTATCCCTTGCCGTGGCCTCGCCCGCGTCCAAAGCTGCTGCCGCCCTTGCCGCTGTTCATACGTAGAGACCAGTTGCTGCGCGGGAAACGAGGGCGGCGGCTGTTCCGTTGGACGAAGTGGCGAAACCTGCGCTTCGCGAACAGGTACTCATGTAGCAGGGTGTCGTAGTCCCAGCCCTCGGAGTCGCCATAATACTCCTGCAGTTCTTCCTGAGTGAACTGGGAAGTGTCCAAGTCGTCGTCGTCGGTCATCGAGTCATCGCCCCCGGGCTCGTCCTCGTACAGGTAGCTCGAGCAGACGGCGCAGCAATCGTAGCCCTCGTCGTCCTGGACCACGTAGTGCTGAGGTGCAGATCCAGCGCTCCCTGCCGCGCTGACTGCGTTCTGACCATACATGTAGGCGGCCGTGTCGTGCCAGGTGTTTGCGCCGCTGTCATTCTCGCCCGTGAACCAATGATGACCATGATATCCTTTGCCGCGGTACCCTTCAGCCAAGTTCTGAGGTCCTGCGTGGGTGTGCTCCGCGAAGTGGCCCTGCTGCCGCACCATCCCGATCACGCTGTTCAGCTGATCGATCGTCAATGGCAGCTGGCCGCTGTTGGACTGCAGCACCAAGGGGTACACAGCCTTGGGCACATGCAGGGCCTCCAGAAACAACAGCGAGAGCACCGGCGTCGGCAGCACGAACGGGTCGTCCAGCTGCGCCACTCGGGCGCGCAGAGCCTCGAAGCGCGTGATCGCGTCATCGACGCTCTCCCGCTCCTGCCTGCGGAATGTGAGAAGCTCGACGATGGTGCTGATCGATGACTGGACGTCGAGCGGGCCAAAGCGCCGCCTGAGTCCGGTGATCAGCATCTGCACTCCGTCCTCGACCAGGTTGCCGAGCTGGTCGAACCTGCCGTGAGCGATGGCCTCGACCGGCACCTCGCGGCAGAGGCCCCTTGCCGTGCCGCCGAGCCGCTGGACGATTGCCGGGCCGCGCTGGTGCTGCTGCAGCTCCGTCGCCGCGCACCACAGCATCACGTCCTGGACCCACAGCCTGAAGGGGTACCCGCGCTGCTCGAGGTACGGAGCCCAGAACGGCGGGACCTTGGATGTGCTCTGCTGTGCCAGCTCTGCCGCCGGCAGACCCTGTACGTTATGCTCGCGATGCTGTCCCCACTGTGGTGCCGGTAGCCGCGACTCGCCGATGCGCTGGCCGCGCTGCGGCGTCATGGGCCTGAAGCCCAGGGGCTCTGCCGAGCCCGCTACGTTGATCAGGATGCCGAGGAGACCGATGAGCAGCACGATCTTGCTCGGCGTCGAACTCGTCGAAGAGGAAGAGCATCCAGTACTTGATGAGATCGTGGCCTGCGCAAG